TCCCCCAGCGCCTGCTGATCCCCCCTAACCAGTTTATAACAGGCCACAAGATCCCCCCTCAGCCTTCTCTTTTGAAGGCTGAACAGGTTCAGGTCCTGCAACCTTTCCTCATAGGACCTACCCTGCTGTCCCTTGATCATACGAGTAAGATTTCAAGGAGATGGGTGCGAAAACTGCACCTCAAACTGTTCAAAACAAAACTCATGACATGTGTGTTAAGGCATAGGGGGATGAAATCAGCAGGGATGGTAGCATGTAATGGGGGGCCTTCCTGGTGCTGGTTAGATCTCCACCCACCCACCTGTTTCTGGGCCAACTGGCCACCCCTCTTTTTTTTTACCTGCCATGCATAATGGAAAACTGATTCGGATATTTCCCAGGTGGGAGGCTGCCCATTTGGTGTCTTGGGGTGACATCCATTCCACAGCTTCATACCTTCCCTAACACTGCAGCCCACTGGCGATTTTGTGTAGTGGGTGCACATGCACCCCCTGAGATTGGTGCATCCTCTGAAAAAAGCGCCGTCTACAGGCAGTTGCCACTCATCACCAACACCACCAGCGGCATCTACAGGTGGTCATGGACCACCAGTCAGCACTTGCCACCCCATCCCCTACTGCTGACAAAGCTGCAGCCACTTGTGGGAGCTCCCTGCTCACTGCTGCCAGCACTGCCTGCAGGTGGTCACCATGCCACTCCAGCCAATGGGGGCACATGTTGTTCATGCTGTAGCCCATGCCTCACACACTGAATCCTTCACCCCCTTCAGCTGTGGTCCCCTCCCTGGGACCTTTGGTTCCCCCTTAGGCCCTGGCCCTGCCTTCAGGCCAGTCAGAATCCTAAGCCTCCTGCTCTGGGCGTTCCTTGTGCTGGGCCTCTGACCCTTTGACCTCCCGTTTGGGTCCTGGCCCCAGCATAGACTAGTCGAGGGTACCTCTGATATCTTTTATTAAACCAACTGAATAGTTGGAGAAATATCTTAGTGAGTTTTCAGGTTTAAAAACCCTTAGTCAGGCTGATGAAGCATCTAGTTGTGTGTGTGCGCGCTTTTCCTGGATGGAATGAATAGTGAAGAAGCCAGAGACTGGCATGCAATGCAGACAAGAAAGCCAGTCAGTGAAAATAGAAATTGAGGTGTTGGGGGGTGAGGGACAGACTGAGTGGGGAGGGGGAAGGGGGATTTAGCAGGTAAAAGTGGAGAGTTCATGAGTTTCTGCATCTAGAAGGTTGATGAAGTGCAGTTCATAGGCTCATCTGTGGGGGAAAAATGGCTTGTAAATTCAAACAAGCACTGAACCTTGCTAACCTCATCACCAGAAGCAAACTTCCTACAGCCCAAAACACACCAAATGGATCCAGACCATGCCATGACAAGAAATGCAAAACCTGTCAACATACTAATCCAATCTATTAAAGACAAGAATACCCAACTACTTGTGGGGGCGCATTTCTCACAAGAAAGCCACTCTGTCTCCAATCTCTCAGGCCTGATCCTCAAAGATGAGCCTATGAACTGCATTTCATCAACCTCCTAGATACAGAAACTCATGGACTTGGTATAGACATAAGTTATAGTGCATCATAAATCCAGTCTTGCATCTGACTCCCCAGGTACCTCTCCACTTTTACCTGCTCAATCCCTCACCCCCTGACACCTCAATTTATGTTTTCACTTACTGGCTTGCCAGCCTCTGGCTTCTTCACTATTCATTCCATGCAGGAACAGCAGGGGGCCTTCCCAGTGCAGGTGAGATCTCAGCCTGCCCACCTGTTTCTGGGCCAGCCAACTGCATGCCATGCCTTGATGGAAAAGTGATTTTGGATGTTTCCCCGGTGGGAGCCTGCCCATTTAGGCCCCTGATGTCTAGGGGTGACAGCCATTCCACAGCTCCTGCTTCCCCTAATGCTGCGGCCCATGCCTCTGTAGATGGCATCCCAGGCAGCTACACTCACCTGAAGCCTCACGGCTCCACTGCAACCAGCAAGCCTCAGGCCTCCCGAAGATCTTACAGGTCTGGGCTTTCCCTAGCCAGGACAGCACTTGCATGTAGTGGCTGGAGGTTATAAGGCTCTTCCTACCCACCTTTTACCAGGGAGGTTTGGGGTCCTGGCATTTCTTGGGAGCTGCCACACCACTGGCACTCCCATCAAGCCTCCCAACCCTGGCAGGGTGCTGTTTTAGGTCATGCTGAGGACCTGGGCTGCCTCCTGCATAGCCCCAGCCCACACTTCCAAGTTTGTCCTGGCACAGGAGCTCAGCAGGGAGATGTTCTTCCCCTGCTGGCTGGTGATGCAGTGAGTGCTGCCTCCAGCTCCGAGAGCAGAACATTTAAATGGTTTTTAAAAAATAAAAATAGAAAATAGAAATAAGTGCAGATGGAGTGAGGAAGGTGGCACTCGCTCAGTCTCCATGCGGAGCTTGGGGAATCCCAGCAGTGGGAGGTTCACCTCGGAATGCCAGCTGCTCCACCAAACGAGGATTCAAGGAGGTGCAGTGTGGTGTCACAACACGCCCAGCAATGCTGAACGCCCTCTCGCTCGGAACGCTGGTTGGTGGACGGGATGAATGTTCCCAGGCAACTGTGGCCAGATCCTGCGGCTTGTCCGGTAGGCCAAGGGGTCACAGAACAGTGGCTCCATGTCCTCAGCGAGATAGGTAGCCACTGAGGTCTTAGTGCTATCTGCCCAATGTCGGGGTCTGGTGCCTCTGGACCCCAACACATTGGCAGTTCCTGTGGTGGAGGAGACTGGTTGGGGAATGGTTTTGGATGGTTTTGTTAAGATTTTTAGATTTTGGTGTTTTGGGCACCCAAATGGGTTGAAACACCTCCAAAATAAAACATGCCGAAATTTTGCACAGCCCTAATCCCTAGCATGGGGGGGGGGGGTTCCCTACTCCTAGCCTTCTCTTCCAAACTTAGTCAGAGTCTTTTAGCCTCTCCTGGTACAGCATTTCTTCCATATGCTTGAGAATCCTCAACTGTCTGTATAGCTTTTCTAATTCCACTTCATTTTACTTGAGGATGTGGAGACCAGAGCTGCATACAGGAGTCAATGTGCATAATATGGATTTTATATAGTGGCATGATGAGGTCTTCAGTTCTCTTCTTAAAAAGCCAATAAAGAGAGTTTTTGGCATCATTTGGTCACTGCTGAACATTGAACTGATGTTCGTCTGTCTTGCCACTCCTCCCTCCATTAGGAAAATACTGGAATGCTGCACTCTTTTTACAAAGCCTTAAACCCTCTCTAATATGGAATTTAAATGGCATTAAAGAGATTAGTTGCATGTATAGCACCTAACTCATGGGGAGAATTGGCATAATGTTTTTGAAGATTGCATGTTGGGGTACAAAGGTGAAACTTGTCCCACATTTTGACTTGAGGATATTTAAAGAAATGTTCTGAAGACTTGATGCTTTTGAGCAGAATGCTTATACTTTTCATGCTTGACTTTATCCTCTCTCAGGTCTGTTAAGTTTCAAGCAAAATACAATAATATTATCCCAATTATGCAGTTGGTCTAATGGATCGCCTACAAAAACCCTTGTACCTTTCTTGTACCTTCTTAGGTGGTGGGTATTTACCACATCGTTAGACATAAGCAGGATCTTGATGGTGGAACCTGAAGGTCCAGAATTTGGAAAACTAAACCAAAGCTGTATTTCATAGTTTCATAGTTTCTAGGGTCGGAAGGGACCTAAGCAGATCATCTAGTCCGACCCCCTGCCATGGCAGGAAGAGCACTGGGGTCAAATGACCCCAGTAAAGTGGTCATCCAACCTCCTCTTAAAACCCCCCAGGGTGGGAGCCTGCACCACCTCACATGGAAGCTGGTTCCAGACCCTAGCCGCCCTGACCGTGAAGTAGCGCCTCCTGATGTCCAACTTAAACCTATTTGATAGTTTTGAACATAAAGTTATGACCCCTGAGGTTTTTGTGCTAATTTTTTTTGCAAAGTTTGAAAATATCTGTTCATCCATGTACTTTTTAATTACTGTGTAATCTAGGTTGCAAATACTGCATCAACTGAAATTCTAAAGGAGTCTTGCTGCTTTAGTTAAAGCTTATTCACTTCTTACTACTTGATAACATGGATTTGTTTCATTCCTCATGGTTTACTTTACTTTAGAAAATATCTCTTTTATTAATGAATGACTGGAGCCTGGACTCTTCTGAACAAGAATAAGTTATGGAAGCTGCATTTGTTTAAAGAAACCCCAAATGCAAGTGTCACCAAACATCCTTTTTAGCTTGAAATTTATGGCCTTGTTTCTTTTAGCAAAAATGTTGATCAATAACAAGCTTATTTGGAGTGGTTTTCTTTGTTTGTTTTAAAGAAGAAAAAGCTGTCCAATTTCCTGTTGTCAAATTGGTCACTGAATTGAGTGGTCTTGGGGTTAAGGAGCAAAAGTGCTGAAAAGAACTGTCCTGGCCCTTTTCCACCAGATCCAATGAAATGAAGGGGCACTAAAAGCTATATTCTCAGGGTGGGGAAGGCAGTTAGGTGGATTCTCTAGAGTAGGAATAGACTGCTGGAAAACTGTTTTCTGAAGTGTGTTGGGCTGAAGCACTGGTTGGGGCGAGAGTGCTATATGCATGCATCCTGCTAAGAGTCTGGATAGTGTTGCAGTCCAAAGGTTGGCCCTGACAGAAAGCATCTGGCTGACTAGTCTGTGCTCCTTAGATTATGCTGGGGACTGTAGACACTAGTAAAGCATCTCAGAATACCATAACCTTATCTCACCCAGACTCTTGCCCTGTTTCAGTGTGTGTGTGTGTGTGTGTGTGTGTGTGTGTGTGTGTGTCCTTTTACACAATGCAGGAGCAAAAACTAACTACCATAAAAGTCCTGTTCCTGCAAAAACCTGTGTGGTGTAACTGAGCACAGGAGCAAATTCCATTATGAAGGACATCTCGCAGTGCATAAAGCTAAGCTCTTCAGGACGGGGAGATGCCTCTTCTGTTTCTTGAGTGCCTGGAGAAATAGGATTTGGCTTTCCAGGTCCTATCTAAACATAGACATTTAGTGTTTGTGAATAATGTAATCTGTGGAAATAGCTGCATTTCCTATTTCACTGTTTATAATTACAGAAATATGCTCAAAACAGAACAGCTCAAGTCAAAATAGCTTAACTTCTAACAAGCAAATGAAGGTAAACCTCCATTTTTTTTTTCTGTTGGAGTGAATGTAATATTAAATCTAGCTTTAAATGCTTTGCCACTCGCTTGCTACCTACTACTGTATGATGTCAGTGGTTGGAGTAGAAGGCCGAGTGAGATTTTCATATCAGTGGTTTCTTTGGCTGACCTCACTTGCAATAAAGTGTGTGTGTGTGTGTGTGTGTGTGTGTTTACCATAGCAGTGTGAAGTCTAGGTAGATCTATGCCAGCTCCTGGGATGGGAACAACGATAGGAATTTTCTTCTTTTGAAAAGATGTTTTTTTTAAATTTTAAATAAAAGATGACTTGTTGCTTGTTTATTGGGTTAATAAACCATGGGAGGTATACTTGTATTCTATCTTAGCCATAAGCTTATTACAAAAAGTCTTTAAGCACATTAGTTCAGATACAGTGACAATTAAACTATCTGGAATGCTGAATGCCAGGCAAGCAGTGAGCAGAACTAAAGTGGGAACAGTATAATGTGAGACTTGTCCTGACTCTCTCTTTCTTTCCCCCCCCCCCCCCCCCCC